CTTCTGCACGTCTGTACAGCAGTTCTAAGTACAATGGTAGATTTACTTTTTTTTTCTCTAGAGTTACGATGGGATTATAAATCGTAAGTTCATTTTTTTTCTGTTTTACGTAAAAAATATTTGCCTTCGTACATAAAAAGTTCTTAAGGGATTTTCAGTCAGCAATAAGCATAAATGTTGCCTTTTCTCTAGACAGGTCTATCAGCACTAGAGTTTGGTCTAGTTGAGCAGGGGTCTCCAACCTTGGCAACTTTAGGACTTGTGGCTGGCTGAGGAATTCTGGGAATTGAAGTCCACAAGTCGTAAAGTTGCCAAGGTTGGAGAGAACACCCCCCCCCCCTTGCACTCTGCTCTCCATCCGTCCATCTTTGGTTATCATACTGATGTATTATTCTCACTGTCTTCCTTTGCCATTGTTTATTTCATTGCTCTATTATTTTTACTTTGGTTCTGTCTACACTCCTTTCATTTTCTTCCTTTTTATTATTGTAAGCTGCCCGGAGTAGCCCCATGGCAGCAAATAAATTCAACAAATAAATAATGTAGGGAGTGACAGGTCTTCTCCAACACACACACACACACACACACACACAAGAAGAGGCCAGACCAAGAAGACAGAGCAGCTGGAGCTTCTGCACAGCCAACCTCACTAAAAACAGACTGAAATCACACCTGTCTCAACTTCCGCCTTAGTAATAACACCAAACCTTTGGGAGACACTTTGGGCAGGCTTATAAATAGCAACCTGCCAGAGTTCAAGTGAGTAAGAGATTTCTTGTGGAGGTTTAGCAGAATTCGGGTTTTCTTTCCCTCTGGCCCCAAAAGACTAAGATTAGGTATGCGTAGGCTGCTAGATATGAATTTGCAGGCTGCTTTTATTGGCAAGAGGGGAGGGTGCAGATTGTTGAGGTGGTCGCAATACCACCAACCTTGTGGCTCCTCAAGCAGCTAAAAAGAAGGAAAACAAATATCTGAGCAAGTAAATAGGTGAAGCCCTTTTTGTCCAGGCCTGGGCTTTAAAAGTGCTGAAAGCCAAGCCCCGGAGGCATATCAGCCAGGCTGTGATCTTGACTTTTTGGCTATATCTTAAAATCAGTCTGGCCAGGAGAGTCTCATCCAAGCTTCCAGAGAAGGACGGAATTTAGCAAAGCAGCCTCAAGGGAGCCCGTAACCAGATTCATGGAGGCTAACCTGGCCAAAGGCCATGTACATTTGCTTGCTGTTTAATTGCAGAGTGAAGCCTTTTGTCACTGCCTTATTCTTTAAGAGCCTACAGACAAGACCCTGTGCCAGATCGCTAGACGAGCATTATCAAGGAGTTTTGATCACTTGCGCTGGTGACCTTCACAGCCCTCTTTCATTTCCCCTTGGAGAAAAATAAGTCTTCTCCTGAAGAAGGCATCTAGAAGGTTGCGACACAGGGAGTGCCAAGCAGGCAAGCCTCCAGCTGTTCGGAGAAATGGAGGCTGGTGGAATGTATTAATTGCATGATTAACCTAATTATCTGGACACCGAAGACATGGATTTTTAATCAGTACTACAGAGTCACCATCACAGTGTCAAGGGAAGAAGGCATCACATCAGCAACCAATGATTTTGCAAACCGTACAGGATTTACCGTTGGAGGTTAGTTTGAAGAACATTAGCCTCAAAATGCATCAATCAATATTGGAGCCGGTGCAAAGTCAAAGCTATGGTAGCAATGCAGCTCCTGTGTAGGTGGGAGTAAATGAAACACAAACTAGGCATGAGAAGCAGCTGGAACAAAATTCAAAATTCCAGCTCTTCAGCATGGTAGCTAAAACTGAAGTCAAGAAGGCTGAAGAATTGCTAACTGGATTTATTTGTACAAACATTCAAAATGTTTTCTAAAATTGATTTGAAAATGCAATCAACTGAATGAGAGCTGTTAAAAATGTAAACATCCAGATTAGTCTGTTGGTGTAGATTTACGTCTTGGGTTAAGATGGAAGTCTACTGAACTGTACAAAAAAGATTTTGCATCTGTGCAGATGACATTTGTATCAGCTGGTTTGCATTAGTTTGATGTGATAGCTGAATCTTCAGAGCTAAATTGAATATCACTGTTATGGAATACTCTATATATTATACAACACATGCATACACATGAACGCAGTACATACACAAATATGCAAACAAGATGTCTACCCCATCTAAATAAAAAAGAAAGCCAACCAAAAACAAAATACAGAAATCCCTAGCAACGAGTACAAACAATTCAATGGCAGAGCAACTTCACATCTCCAACTCAGGGCAGTCAATGCAATTCTTGTAAGATAACAGAACTGAAAGCAAAGCAGAACCTTTGTACTTGAACTGAACAGAGCGGGAAATAAGTTTGAGGGAAAATGAGGTACAGTATCTCACATTTGCTGATATAATCCAGTGTAATTGAAAAGTTAATCAATTAAGCAACTATTGGATAGATAAAAGGAAGCACAATTGGTTGGCAAAAAGAGCATTATTTCTTCCACCTCCTGCCAAAACTTAGTTATAAATTACTTTGCTGGGAGATATTGTTTAATATGAGCATACTTTCTCCCTGCAATCCAACCAATGGAGATTCTTGGCAGCGTTTCCAGATCTGCTGCTGGGGGCATCCCCAAAGTCAATCACAGGAACAGACTGCCACAGGCCTAGGCTAAAAAGCCTATCCCATTCTCCGCCTGAAATCATTTCTTCTGTTAGCTTCCTCCTAATGAGTTTGCTGGGGAAATCCCTCAGGTTTTTTTTCTCAAAAACAAATATATTTCCTGTAAGCCAATGTGATGTTCCACAGTATTACCCTTTTTCATTCTCTCACCAGAAAAAAAAAATACTCCCTGAAACTCATAATGCTTTCCATGGGATCTAGGAGAGCCAATCTTACTTAATTCTACATTCTTTTACACCAACTCAATGCAATTGTAAGATATCTGGACTTCAACTCCCAGAATTCCATAGTAAGGCTACAAATGAGAATTCTGAGAGTTGGTGTTCACCTGTCTGGAAGGAGACCAAATCAGAGAGAGTGGCAGAGTTTTTAATCCACCCCCAAGTTACAGAGTAATGGGAAAGATACTTTTGCGTTATCTTTCTGGTTTTAATAACAGCAGAAGTGAGGATGTACTGCCTTCAGTTCTATTCTGGTTTCTGGCCAGTGGTAAAGAATACAGGGAACTACAATGTAGAAATCTTGAGAATGGGATTGGTTTCTGACCTCAGTACTAAAGGGAAAAGGAAAGCAACCATGGTGGTAGGAGAGCGATGCTTTTAGATACATATAAACCAGACCTCGGCATTTTACAGCCCCTGAGCCACATCCGGCCCCTTAGCCATCTCTGTCCTGCCGACATGGATTGCTGTTATTTTAAAAGCGGCTATTTTTTCTCTCACTTTACATATGTGCATGCATGCCTACGTACCTTCACAGCCTTATTGGTTTGGAATTCCCCAACTGTCCCAGTTTCGGATGTGGCCATCTGGGAAAACTAACTGCCCACTCTTGAACTAAATCAGGGGTAGTCAACCTTGGCTCTTTTATGACTCGTGGACTTCAATTTCCAGAATTCCTGAGCCAGCTTAGCTGGCTCAGGAATTCTGGGAGTTGAAGTCCACGAGTCATAAAAGAGCCAAGGTTGACTACCCCTGATCTAAATCAACAACTAAAGCAAAATTAAGCAAAGAAAATAAGTCCTGGGAGACTCTAAGCCTAATCTAACTAATCACACTATTCTAGGTATTCGCAAACTTTTTGCCCATCCTCTATTCCTAACCCTTTGTTGCTCTTTCCCCAGCTAACCGTGTCTCAGAAGACAAGGGAGCTATTTGGCTAACATTTTAGATGGAATTTACTCCAATTGCCTATGTTCACATATCATACCTAGTCAGACACATGCAACATATCATGCACCACCACTGCCACGTTGTAGCCTGGCCTGTAGTTCAAACCTAGCCAGAATGTCGCTTCAAGAGCACAATATTCTCTGAAAAGTGGCCCAAGACCTCTCTCTGGTTTCATGTGCCAAATAAACAAACAAGGCAAAATCGCTACCCAGCTGTTTATGAAGGGCAAAGTTGTGTCAGGCTTAGTCCAAATGCATCCAGAGCTCAGGATGCTTTCCAAAATAAGCACTTCCTGACTTGGAAAGAGAAGTTCAGTGAAGAAGCTGGTTCCCAGTACATGGTTTTTATACTAAACTCTGTGAATCCCAGAAGGGCCTCTTAGAGCACATGATTTTGGCTTAACAAACTGTAATCGGTTACTGCAGTGGTGGCGAACCTATGGCACGGGTGCCAGAGGCGGCACTCGGAGCCCTCTCTGTGGGCACGCGTGCCGTCGCCCCAGTCCTAGGCCTTCAGCTGGGTTTTATAAAACCTTTTCACTTTAGGCCTCCGCTGCCGTGTGCAAAAAAAAAAAAAAAAAAGGTTCAATCAGTTAATTTCAATTTCTTGAGGGAAAAAAAAGATCTTGCAAAGTTGGAATTGATTGATTGAACTTTTTAGTCCCACCCAGTCTGCCGCTACCACTGTAGCCATGCCCACCCAATTGACCACACCCACTCAATGGGCCATGCCTACCTGGCACTCGACGATGCATAAGTGGGTTTTGGATTGCAGTTTGGGCACTCGGTCTCTAAAAGGTTCGCCATCACTGGGTTACTGTATTTATTCACTTTCTGGGCATGCACAACGCCCTGAACACCGAAGCGGTTGGGTTAACCCAATTTGCTATTCACGCACACAAAGAAGCCTGACCCAGATGAACAGTACCACCCTGGCATGTGTGAAGGAAGCTGCTAGGTTCTTTTAACCCCAATAACCCCAACACTACAACTTGACTACCATCTTTACCCTGCCTTCTGAGGTTTCAAGGGCTATTTGTTCCCCACCGGGCTGGCCTTTGGCTCCTGATCCGAATCCAGCACCCTAACTGGACTTTAGCCTCGGCCTCCAGAAGCCGCCGACCCCCCCCCCGACCCCCGAGGCCGGCCACTCACCGCTGTGCGAACTGAACCACCGGGGTCCGAGGTGCAGAGGTAGAGCATCGGCCAGCGAGGCCCTCGAGCCCAGGTACAGCATCCCGTCTCTGTGGTGACCGCCTCCCGTCTCCTGGTAACCGTTGCCATGGGCGTAAGGGGTGGAGTCCGCGCCCGACCCGCCGCCTGGACCCCGCTCCGAGTCGCCCGCCGAAGCCGCCGCCGCCGCCGCCGAAGCCGAAGCCGCCGTGGTGCTGGCCGCCGCCGCCGCCGCCGCGTAGAGGCCGAAGGGGACGCTGCCGGCGCCGGCCGGCTCCACGCCGCCCATCCCCACGCCCACGCCGGCCACGGAGCTGACGGAGCGGCTGCGCAGCCCCATCGCCGAGCTGCCCCCGCCGCCGCCGCCGCCTCCGCCGGTGCCCGCGCCGCGGTAGTGCCCGAAGTGGGGGGCTCCCCCGGGCGGCGGCACCGCGCTGTCGTCGCTGGCCACGCCGGCTAAGGGCCCGCCGCCGCGCGAGCGCCCCGCGGCCGTCGCGCCGGCC